TCCAGACATCATGATCTTAGTGACAAGTTGGGCATGAATGATATCTATGCTCCAACTTGAGGGGGAGTGTTGTCAGTTGTTTATGTATTCAGATTTAGTACCATAAGGGTACTATTGTAATTTTTCCTCTGTTCATATTGTTCGACTGTACTAGTATAAATAATAAAATCATTCTTTCGCCCCCTAAGTTCTGGAGGGCTTTTAGTCACTCGACTCATCTCTTTTCTCTCTTCTCCTCTCCTCTCTTCACTTGCTCTTGCTCAACAGTAATGTTGCATCACATGTAAATAGTATCTCTCACTGTCTCGAGGTGCAACAATACAAAGATGTGAGTGCAATATTTACATCCCAAAGTACACTTGGTGGTACCAGTAGTGCAAAACATGTTCCTTTACTATAGAATTGGTATCAATTCATTTCCTTGATATGTTAAACAAAACAAGCATAGGGTTCTAGGTTTCAGTTAGGCTGGCAAGTTTTAAGCCTGAATGGGCCTAATTTTAAGAATGAAGTTATTGTAGCTGAGCCTCAACCTTACAGAAAGCCAAGCCTGAACTCATCATCTTGGTTATATGTGGAGTCTGCTGATCGTGACCCCAACTCACTGTCTAGGAGTAGTCCAACCAAGATGGGAAGTGGGAAAGGATTTGATACCATTCTTGTTCCAAATTAAATTTTCTTTTCTCCCCAGGAGGAAGAAGAAGAAGAAGATGATGATGCTGATGATGATGAGGATGGCACTCCCATGTTTCATTAAGCTCCTCCATTTAAAATGATCCTTAAGCATTTTAGCTTAACTATACAAGTAAAAAATGAAAAACGATTCCCAAAAACAAAATTTAAAGAAAAGTATTTACCAAAAAATCACAAGTGGGTGAAATGATAAACAATTCATTTAGTGATCAATTTCAAGGTCGGGCCTGCACTTATATTTTATAATTTACAATGCATAATTTAAATATTAAACATATATTATCATACAATAGAAAATATAATATAATATTTGATATTTAAAGTTCTAGGCCCAAGCCCAGGCTAGCCCGGACCTTACTATAGATGCTAAGCCCAGCCCTCTTCCCATTTTGAGAATTGATTAATCCTGGATGTATTTCTTTGTTTTTCTTTGGGTGGGTTTTGAGAGGGTGATGCTGAGTGCTTGTTGTACTGGGCATGGGGCAAGGTGGGTCTCCTGTTAATTCTAATTTTCTGTTTGATAATGGTAAATAAAATATTAAGGTGGCAGCCCCTCCATCTCAAGTAAAGTTTAGGGTTAAAACAAGCGCGACCCAACCCGGCCCATAATCACCCCTGTTTCAAGTGATGATCCAATGAGTAATTGTTAGTAAACCATGAACACTCTACTATGTTCATCACTCATTGGCTCCAACCTTGCATTTCTTTCTAAGACAATGAGTGATGAGCACGATAGGGTTCTCATGGCTTGCTCTAAGAGAGGGGTGCTCATCATCTAATTAGTGATTACTACTCCAAAGGTTAGGCATTGTTTTGTGTGAGAAAGATTTGGGTAGTGCTAACCAGTGGGTTCAAAAAGATTTTGAAACATAGTCATGTCATCTTGTTTCCTTGTTTGCCTCTAGAGTGTAGTCCATCTTCCTTCACTTGATAAAGTAGCCTCTTTTTCACTTTATTCTCCATTGTTCTACCTTTCTAATATTGACTTCATTGTACACACAAAGAAAGATGCACAGCCTCTCTCTGACATGGATTCTTCTTATTAGGCTTTCCTGAATTCCCAACCAGAACAAAATAAGCATTCTTTTAAGCTTTATCACTTCATGCTTTTCAACATGCACTTACTAAATTCCTTTCCCCCGTGTTTGTGCTCTTCCAGTAGCAACCCTAGTTTGTCTCAATTTTTAACTGTCGCTTTTGTGTCACATAGGCTTTTCCCCCCTTTTAACTAGGTTTGTGGCTTTTTTCCCCTTTCTAACAAGATTGTCTGCGTTTTCTAATAGGCTTCAATTAAATTTAAAAAAAAAAAAAAAAGCTAAGGCCATGGCTAATAACTAGGGATGCAAATAATATCTGTTGGCCTGAATTCAAATTCCATATAAAGCAATCCCAATTCAATTTGTTAAAGAAAGTTACTTTCAAATCATTTTGTTCATGATATACAATTTTCTATGAAGTAAATCAATTCTTAGGTAAATAAAGCAGATTTTATCTAAAGTTGGTGATATCCCACAGTTTTCTATGAAGTGTTGGTATTTGCAGATAGAGATTCATAGTTTCTTTTTCTTCCAACAAATGAATTTGTCTTGATCAGAGCTGTTACTTGGGCCAGGTTAGCCCGAATACAACCGAACCCGAAAAAGTTGGGTTGGGTTGCGTCAGATTGACAACCGGGTTAGGGTTGACTTCTGCCAACCTAACTTTACTTTGGTCAACTCAATTATTACTAATTACATATATTATAGTCCCACTAATACTATCATAATCATTTTTATAGTCTCTTTCACACACACGCTTGGCTATTGATTTCTAGGCATTGAATTATTCATTCAGTTTTAGGAACTTGTCTATTTTGCTTTCTTCTAATTTTCTTTCCTGTATATTATGGCTAATGTATGATGTATTAAATTATTGATTTCACCTTGTTAGTTGTCATCAGTGATTTTCATTCCATAGTTTTATGCTTTATTATTGCTGATTTCATTATTTTATATTTTTAATGGGAGATCTATCATAATTTATAATAGATTCTATTGGTTCAAAGCATTTTGTTTTTTTTTCATTTTTGTACTAAAAGAACCAATAAAAACATCAAACAAGCAAATAACAATAAACCATATGGTCAGTATCAACGTTTTAAAAAATGATCCGGAAATGGAACTGTTCTGGCCATTGGTTTCCAAGTCGACAGTCCGATCATCCAGTTCGAACGGATGGCTTATTCTGACAAACAAATTAAAAATAAAAAACTATCAAAACCATTGAACAGGTCGACGAGTCAACAGGTCGATCGCTCGGGTCAATGGATTGTTGACTTTTTCAACGGTTTAGGGTAAAACAGAACCGGTTGCCTAAATGGTTCCCGGGTTGAACGGTCCAATTGTCCGAGTCAACGGCGGTTCAAAAACCTTGGTCAGTATATGGTCGTGAAATTTGGGCCACCTACTGAACAACTGTAAAAAAAGGACCCAAGCCAACCTGAAGTCAACTTTAGGTTGAATCGGGTTGGGTGGATTTTAGATTAGAGTAGGGTTACGGTTGATTAGGTTAAGTTTAAGGTCAGGTGCAGTTAGGGTTAGGGTTAAGGTTAGGATTGGGGGTTCAAAACCTCGGGTTGGATTGGGGTTTGCTTCAACCCGACCTACCTGGTTCGACTTGCAGCCCCTAGAACTGGTATCTTAACATAAACTTTACCCCTACGGGCCCTACCAAAGCTATCTCATGGACCATACTGATTTAATATCCAAGAAGACAGGATAAAATTCTAGGAATACAAGAGAAATCTGCAGTAATATTTGCCTTTTTAAACTAACTTGTTGAATAAGAGGTTGGATCACTGGGCTCAGACTGGATTCAGGATAAATAGTTCAGGCTTGACCTCACTGGGCTCAGACTTTAAGCCCAATTCTTAGGATTGGACCTGATTTAAGCTTAAACCTAGACCAGCCCGCCCGACTTGCACCCCAGATTTCCTTCCAATGATACTATGGGACTCGGGCCCCAAATGGTTAATTGACCCAGAAAAAAGGGCCGTATTAAGGCCTCTCTGGGCCATAAAACATATCGCCACATTGAAGATTATTGGGTCATTTTTACGGTTCTTAAGCATCAATAATCAACTATGTACAGTGTTTTCAATCGACGACAGACCAGCCGATTGGACAGGTCAACCCATCATCGACCATATTCCAGGTCCGTTTATCCTAAAAACACTAATTCGATCAATGATCCGGTGACTTAGTTGGTTGAACTGTTGAACCATATGATCCGATCGGCCAGTCAAATGGTGGAACCATTTAATCATTTTCATCATAACAATAGTAATAATTCTCATTTATCAATTATCACATTTATATTTATTTAATATGGTTATATGTAATACTAAAGGTGTCCAATATTTTTTCTGTAATTTTTTATATTTATATTTAATTTATGATGTCTTAACCCATTTGATCCAAATGGTGGTATCACTGACCCACCACCCGGACAGAAAAGTGGTTCCATTTAAAACATTGATACATGGAACAATTAATATTGATCGGTAAATAGGACTTGAGAAGACAAACCTAAAAACCAATTGTGATCAACGAGCAACTTCCCCGAAGAAAGAACATCAATTAAATGGCAAAACCCATTCTTCACATCTTTCTTCAGACAGGATGAACAGAAGACAGAAAACCCATTCTTCAGTAAGTTGCTGAAAACAGAAAAGTCTCTCTGAGTAGTGTCTGCAGACAAGACCAACATCCAACAGAACACAGAAAACCCATTCTTCAATAAGTTGCTCAAAATTCTCTCTGAGATCGTAGTGGTTTTAGTTCCTAATTTTGGTTTTAAAATCGCCCACTGACTTGCTACCCCATGCTCATCTCACACAAAATGCAGACAATAACTGCTTCTCACCAAACAGATTGATATTTTGTTTCACCTTTCTTATTCTGTTACTATAAGTTTCAATTTTTTTTCTTCTGTTATCATCAATGTGTGTCCCCCTTATTTCATTAAATTAGCATTTTCTGTTGAGGGAATTGCAAAAAGTATAACTAGAGCAAACTTCAAGGAAAAGAAAAACGGCCCAAGCGGTGATCCTCAGACCTCATAGCCGGTGATGTTAGTGGGCTAACATTATTGTAACCAACATATAAAACACATGCAAGGACATTATACCAAATACCTATTGAGGTTGCGAGTCCTAGTTACTTGCACCATCCTCATATTTGTAGAAAATTCTAATTAGTATATCGCTCTATTCTTTGAACACACACAGACACACACATATAAAGAGTGAGAGAGAGAGGAGAGAGAGATGCAGAAAATTAAATGCTTTCTTTTATTAGCAACATTTTAATTTCAAAATGAATAATAAGCTCCGAGAGATAAATGCCCTATAATGTAAGAGCTTATTCCCCATAATGAATTCATACTACAATACAAAAACATGCACTAAACTTGAGAAAACAAAACCAGGTAGCTCCAGAAACCACTTCCAAATCTTAGCTTCCTCTTTGTTCCAACGCCCACATAACCTAGCTCCACTTTTAAAGCCACTTCTACTTGAATATGCTAACAACAAAACATGTAAGATGGCTCCCAAAGAAGTGTAAGAAGCAAAGAAGCCAGTTTCCAAACTAAAACCTGCAAATTAACAAAGTTGCATTATGATGTTATTGTCATAAATAAATATATATATATATATATATATATGTATTTATTTAAATATCAATCATTGCCATTAATAAAATAAGGTTGCCTTGATACTTACATGATTGAAGAGGGAAACCTTTTAGGCTTAATAGTGAACTGGAGGAGGTGGAGATGAGTATGTGTATACAGATGGTGGAGGAGATTTCACTAGTGGAGGAGGTGAATGGTAGTAGTAGGTAGGTGGTGGTGGTGGTGGTGGAGATTTGTATTCATAAGTGGGTGGGGGGTGAGGAGGTGACTTGTATTGGTAAACTGGAGGAGGGGGAGAACTATAGTGGTATGTTGGTGGAGGTGGAGGCGGTGACTTGTAGAGGTAGGTAGGTGGTGGTGGTGGTGGAGACTTGTACTTGTAAGTGGGTGGGGGAGGAGGGGGAGAACTGTAGTGGTAGGTTGGCGGAGGTGGGGGTGGAGACTTGTACTTGTAAACGGGTGGAGGAGGAGGTGGTGATTTGTACTGGTAAACTGGAGGAGGGGGTGAACTGTAGTGATAAGTTGGTGGTGGAGGTGGTGGTGACTTGTAGTGGTAGGTTGGTGGCGGTGGTGGAGG